GAGAGTCGCCCAGGGGTGTCCACATGAGGCCTGCATGGGGTGGGAGTTCATGGGCTAGGTCGCCCTAAGTCTGTCTGACTCAGGTTCTGTCGCCACCATCTGATCTGTAGCCCAGGCCTTTGCCACATTCATCAGAAATGCTTTGTATTTCAATTTAGAATCAGGCTTTAGATTTTTGTAAACCAAAAATGAATTGAAAATGGCACAATTTATAAGCCACAAGGCAACTTTCACTTTTATTATCTGTGCCCACAATTCTTTGTTGACCCCTGTCACTTCCACTGTCTGAGTCACTAATCACTACTCCTCCACAAGGCACTTCAGGTAGCTCCATAAACAAGTCAGAGAGATCGCTTGCCTTGACCGCTTTTGTCCTTGAAACATATTCCCCTCTACTAACTTCCTGTCTGGTACATAAACAGCTGGAAGGGGCAAAGTTTATTTTCTTTTGGAGTAGGGACCCTAGCAAGCCAGGTCGAGTTACTGAATACCTAGCTACATTCCGAAGATTTATTACGCAGTATTCAGTGTGTTTCAACATAACGCATCCTAAAGTCATAATAATATGCCACCAGTCCGCAATGTTTAAAAAGGAAAAACCTTTTAAAGGGCACGTGGTCTGCAAAGTGTTAAATAAGCTGTAGCCTCACAATCACATAAGATGTGTGTGGCTGATTCTTCATCTTGTAGGCACCTCTCACAAGTTGGGTCCTCTGTCAGTCCCAGTTTGAGAAGGTGCCCTTTTAGGTGGCAGTGTCCAGTAAGTATTCCTGCCACCCATCTGAGTTTATCTCTGTTTAATCTTAACAGGTCCCTCGTTCTTTTGGCAGTGGGTCCTGATATAAATCCTTTTGCCTGTTTGAGTCCAGTTATGGAATCCCAGTGTTTTATGTGATTTCTCTTAGCCCAGTCCCTGATCGCTTTCTTGGCAACTCCAATTGAGATGCCACAAGCTGGTTCAGGTCCTATGAACGGCTGTTCAGATCCTGTTCTTGCCATTTGATCTGCAGTTTCATTCCTTACAATACCCTCATGACCTGGCACCCATATTAGTTGTACTCTGTTATGTCTGGCCAGTTGTATGAGGAATTGGTGGCAGTCCCAAACCAATTTTGAAGTGATTTGGTGTGTACCAAGTGCTTGATCTGACCCATTCTATCAATAAAAGAATACTGATACACGTCAGTATCACAGTATGAGTAAAGCTGGTCGTTCTTTTAATGCATATGGGAAGTTTGTAGGTAAAGCGTCACATTGTCTCCACCTCGGTATTTCTTCTGGGGGGAAGCCTGTGCTGACCTATGGACCACAGAGGCCATTCTAGTTGTGAGGAAAAATAGATGCTTTATGTGATATATATATATATATATATATACTACCACAGTCAATAAGTTCGTGGAATGGCCGCAAAGCATCATACGGGAATTTACTGGCAATATGTTTCAGCAATGTTTTTGACAGCTATATCAATGTCAGCAGACTTGCATAGTGGCCAACGGCAACTATTTTGAGGGCCAATGTGGATCTGCATAAGTTTATGTGAATACCTTGTAATATGATGCAATAAAACTACATTCCACAAACTTAATGACTCTACCATGTGTGTGTGTGTGTGTGTGTGTGTGTGTGCGCGTGTGCGTGTGCGTGTGTGTTTTTTTCATGCAGTGAAATAATTATGATAAACTTTATGTGTTCTCAGTGCAAGAATTGTCTAATGATTACTATAAAATTTATTTTCCATTCTTAACTCTTGGTCTTTATATCTGTTGTACAGTTGGCAAAAAATCATGTCTTAAGGCAGAGTATTTACCAACATTTAGAATATAAGGTGGATTGATAAATTTCTAAAATAAATCTGAAATTTTCAAGTTACATTTTGTCATTTATAAGAATTCAGTATATTGACTAATTTTAATTGAAAAGTTCTCACAACATTCTCTTTGGACCAAATACTTATTGTCTTATTCTGGTCTGTATATGAACGTTCAGGCATATTGTCAATCCTTAACTTAAAAAAGAATTACTTTTTTTCCTTGAAGTCTTATACTGAGAAAAAAATATAATTTTTGAGAATAAAGTATTTTGTTTCACCAAATGCAAAATTTTCTCATATAGATATATAATACCTTGGTGAGAATTTTTTTTTTTTTTTACTAAAAGGGGCAACTGCAGATTAATAGCAGGCCCTTAAATGGCAGCTATGAAAGAGCCCTTGATCTGTAATAACTGACAGAAGGTACATGAACAAATGCTGCACCTTGCATCACTTACAGAGTTCTTTGACTGTTGGCATTTGAAAGAGGATAAATTATGTCAGAACTTTAGGGCCATAGGTCTGAGTATGTTAGTAGACATATGTATGTTCAGCATTACTCAATACTCATTTAAGTCATGTATATTACATACTCCTGGATGCATAACTAACTCCATGGTGCAGGGTTTTCTTTGAATATTGGTAGTTACTCAGCCAATCAAATTCTCTGCTGTATACACACACACACACACACAATATCCCTAACATATATATTTACTTTGTCTGGCTTTTTCCTTTCACTCTGTACTCCAATGCAATAATCTTTTCATTAGGATTTACCTGATGTGGTGATGGACATAATGCCAGCATTAGTACAAATTCAGAATCAGATCTTGGATGGAAAACTCCCACTTGAATATGCATATCGAGGACTACATGCACCATGGATGCAAATATCCATAATCAGGTGATCCTGACTGTTTTGAAATGATAATATTGCTTATGGTCATTGTACTTTATTTTATAAGGTCTCATAATTTGTTTAAGGTTGCTACGATATCTGCAAGAGCCTGGCTTGGATATTTATATGCTTATTCAAAAGACATTGCAGAATGTAAAGCTTCAAATAGAGAATGCTATTGGAGCAGCCATGGTGTGTGAGTGCATTACCACATTGGTATATCATAAGGTGGGGGATGAGATGCTGGCTTCTGCATTACTGTGTGTGGTAGACCTGATGGCCAGTCCAAACAGCAACTTGAGGTAATGCGTGGAACAGCCATCATCATCATCATCATCATCACCACCCTTATCAGCACTAGACTTAGTTGACCCGTTCCATGAATTACAAAATGGAATCTTTTCATTTTGGCCTGTTTCCCTTATTTTTAAGGAAGGATCTGGAATTCCATCTCTATATTTTTGCTTTGAGACTTGATAGATTCTGCATATCAGGTTACTGGCCTGTCATTGATTACTGATTAGTCTGGATGTGACTGATGTCTTTTATGTATGTATGTATTTATTTCATCTCTATAGATCATTGTTTCATGATATAGGACAAGTCAGTTACTGCACATTGGCTGATTACAATAAGAGAATAAAGTTACAATACTTAAAATTGTTTACAGTAGATTACAATAGTTAAGATTTCACATAGTGTGAGGTGGAATATATATTAGGTATAATTTATGCTTTCAGACATGCTGTTGTTTTGTGACATTGACAGGATTTAGAAAAAACAAAAACTCTAAATAAAGCAAACAACCAAACGAAATTAAATCTGCTCGTAACAAAATCCCATGGAACCTCAACATTTCACATTTCTGCCAAGTTTCCTTTAGAAAATATACTTATTTCTGGATGAATAATATTCTGCAGCTCATAACACACACACACATATACAGGGTGTCCCAGGAGGAATGTGCCAGACTTCAGGAGGGTGTTCCTTATGTTAAAGTATGCCGACATAACCCAAAACACCTATGTCCAAAGTTGAACGGTTATGGAGATAATAGCCTGAGAAGTGTGAAACTTTGACAGGTGTTACACACTTGTTGATTAGCAAGTACATATTAAAACTGGCAGGAATGTGTGGTTTCTGTAATGTTAATAATGTACGTAACATCAAACTAACTTGTGAGTGACATGAAGCCATAAAATTGAACTACAAAAAAACTCGCAGATGTCATAGTTGTCCTTAGGTTTCCAAGCATTATACATAACACATGCATGGCAAGCGCTGACTTAACATGGCTGACTGTGCATTCTGGTATGAGCTGACTACATAACTACTAAAATACAGTACCTGCTTTATACTAATTGTTCAAAGTGTCCTCCGCCAGCCGCAGTGTCTTCCAACAAACATGGTAACTCACTCCTCAGGAAGGCTTCATACATGTTTCCAGTTAAATTTTTGTGAAATACAAAAGGTCCGAACAACCTGTTCCCAAGCACACCACACCATACATTTACAGAAAATCTCTTTTGGAATTTCGTTACCATTATCTCATGTGGATTATTATGGGACCACCTATGCACATTTCGTAAATTATTTACACTGTCCAGGGTAAAAGACGCCCCCTCACTGAATAAAATGACGCTTAACAGTTTGGGATGAGCTTTTATCCAGTGGCAGAAATCCATACGCTGAGCATGGTCGCCTGGTTCCAGATGTTGTACCCTTTGATCATGGTAAGGATACAACTCTTCATCATGTAAAGTTCGCCACACCTGCATGTGTGATATGTCGATGCGAGAGGCCATTCTATGAGTGGACAGATGCAGACTTCTCTGAATCATCTCAAAATGTTCTCTCGTGTGTTTCTCATTTGTACATCCTCCCTTTCAGAGTGCACAGAAACACTCGGAAGAGAACCAGTATCACACAATGTGTGGTGAATTCACATAAATACACTTCGAGATGGAATCCGTCGATCCATTGGCATTCTTCGACAGCAGCACGTGCATTGCCACTGCAAAATCCATACACAAAATGCATATCACAATATTCCACCTGTGAAAACACAAAAGGCATTTCAGCAACTCCGCACAACTAATTTACCATCCATTCACATAAGCACATAAGCTTGCAGCTAGTGTGAATCACCACACTCAAGGACAAACATAGATAAGACTTCTCAGCTGACA